GTGCTATGGTACCGTTCTCAATCATGTAGCCTAAGAAATTGATCTTGCTCTTGAGAAATTGTGCTTTTTCCAACTTGATTCGTAATCCAGCCCTCGAAGCCACGCTCAATACCTTTTCTAACGCCTTCAGTCCTTCATTTTCGTCCTTGCTTGGCACGATTATATCGTCCATTTAGACCACGGTCGTTTGTGCTTGAATAAGATCCCTCAAAGTAGCCGTGACATTTCGACAGAAAACAGCAGGAGAATTTGAGATACCGAACGGTACATGAGTAAATTCGTACTGCCCGTTATGCGTCACGAAAGCTGTGAACTTCCTGGATTCTTCGTCAATCGGCACATGAAAGAAACCGTTCATCATGTCCAGGGTTGTGAATATTTTCGATCCCTGCAACCTGTCGAGAACATCGTTAATTAGTCCTTCATGATTTTTTGATTGAGTCAGCGATAATCGCGAAGCATACTCTGAGGAGCTGGGTACAATAATTCCCTCTGCCAACCATTCCTGCACTTGATTCTCTATGAAACACCTGTTCTCGTATGATGTGCGTCTTGGGCGTTGATATACAGGAATATCGTCTTCCAACACGATTCTCATTCGCACTGGAGACTCTATCGATTTTATTGGCTTGTACTTTGTTAAAAGCTGCTGTATCTTTAGTTTTTGATTGTCGGCCAGGTGAGATAAATCAATTTTATCTAGGACGGAACTTTTCTCGACTATCTCCGTGACACACATTCCATTAAATGCCGATGCAAAGTTTCTCTCTTTTGCCCTGAACTCGACGCCGTTGAAACTGAACATTACGTCAACTGACTGTAGCACATCGTTTCCCAGAATTGCAGGGAACTCGAGTTCGTTCTGTTTGGCGACATGGACAGTTACCGAGAAGCATACACCATCAGCTTCAAGATCGACGTCGAAACATCCTACGGTCACAAGTTCGCCCTTGCCGATACCTCTCAGGTGCTTAACTACTGGCTTTAACTTCAAGCCGTCAAAACTTCTGAAAACGTCCTCTCTCAGCCAACACAAGTCACATCCCGAATCAATCATGGCTATGAATGTCACTCCTTCAGCTTTCTTCTTTTTGTAAATGAGTCGCTTCGTGGCTTTTACTTCCAGTATGTTTGCAAACTCTTTCTTAACGGAAATAGTTTCTTTATTCTCATCGCAATTTTTAAAGATATGTCCTTTCTTGTTGCACTTGTAACATATTACTTCGCCTTTGCAATCCTTGGCAATATGGCCTTCGCTGTTACACTTGAAGCATTTCCTTTAAAAATTGCTCTGAGTCGGTTTACCTGTCGATTCCCTGTTCAAATTGTCTTTAGTATTTCCCTTACCCTTCATCTTTTCGTAAATGCTTAATTCGGCTTTAAGTTCCGTAATGGAATTCGCTGGATAAAACCCTGCCTTGTTGACCTTGCTATCTGGGATGCCATCTATGAAGTACGATGATAGACTTTCCTCATCAAGATTTATCGGTTTGCTGATCTCCATTAAACTATAGAGATACTCGAGTCATGTCTCTTTTGGTTGTTTTTGCCATTTGATCAAAATCTTGTGTATCTCTGCCGAACATAGCTTTTTACCGAATTCTTCTTTCAACGCGTTTTTCAGCTCAATCCAACCCCTAACTCCCCTTGTACATTTAATGTAGAGCTTGGCTGCTCCAGTCAGAAGTTGCTTAGCATAAATAAATTTCTGCAAATTATCTGATGAATGATGAAACACTGTCCTGAATATCGCGTAGTGTAAATCTCGAGCTACTAGGTTGAACCGCCTCTTGGTAATTGGAAGCACTACTAATACTCGCAACTTCCCCATCAGCCTCGCCGTCCTCATCGTCAAACACATCTAATGCATAATGATCAAACAACCGATCCTGCAAAGCTCCTTTTCTGCCAGTTGTATCCAAACCTAGTTCGGATAACTTTGCCCTTAGTAGAGGCACAGTTATAGCGAGGATCATTCTAGCATCCATAGTAATGCGTTCAAGCCGTTTACAAACAGTGGTACAATTCAATATTTAAATGTATTGATACAACAAAATAAGAATTTAATTGACGTTAAACAATTCGTGTATCCAAAAAAAATTAAAATCGGATTAAATATATGAAATCGCCTCAGTCGCTCACCACACCCAATTGGATTTTGCTGTCTTCTACGTCTGCTTGAATTTTGCCAATCCAGTCCACTCTTCTACTCCAGCTCTTACTCTTCTACGATGTCGTCACGCTGCACTGCTTGCTCGACTCGTTGCCACTTCTTGCTCGTCTCTCGCAATTTTTTTTGCGGATTGCATCGTTTGCAGATCTTGCAGCTCCTCTTTTCGCCACCGGGAATTTTTTGTTGTCGCAAAAATAGCAAGTGGCCAGTCCGCTGCTGTATGTCGTCGTTCTCTTTTCTCTACTGCGCAGATTTTGGGGTGGAAATTTTTTTTCGAGTTAATTTTTGGGTACGCTCACAGTAAAGTTTTTGCAAAATTTTACGCACTTTGTAGTCTGTGTACTTCAATTCGCTGCTTCAACGTTCTTCTTTTAACTTTTTAGATTTTCCTCGTCTTTATCTGTTTTTGTTTAGCAATTACATCCAACGCTTTTCAGTTTTTACTTCTTTTTTTTTCAGTCTTCACTTCATTCTTCGTCGCGACATTTTTCGATGTGTTAACCCACAGTTTTCTCTTTGTTCTTTTTTCCTTTTATATATCCCGGTTGAGCCCCCAATAATTTGTAGGGTAGTACAAATTGATGATGTTTATTTCGGATATGTATATAAAAGTAAAAAGGTTTCAAAAGGTTAAACGAAATTAGTCCTTGCTCAGCCAACTTGAGATTTCTGTCATCCTTTGTGTTGCTTTTCATCCGAAGAAGGTCGCTTAGGGGTTCTGCAGCGTCAGTTTTCCGGCACAACTGATGCCTTGCAATTCGCCGTGGCGAATTCAGCTTAGATGAATGTTGTGTCATCTATCCCCATCTCACTCACACAACACAATATTTTATCTGTGTACTACTACACTGACGCTTACTGAACGGCCGAATATTTATGTAGGGTAGTAAAAATTTATAATGTTTATTTCGGATATGTATATAAAAGTCAATTAAAGAAACAAAGGTTTCGGTATTAAACTTCACGACTTCCGCACTCTATGGATGACACTTGCTCTCTTCAATATTCGCAATCGACTCACTTCAACTTAAATTAGTAAGGCGCAATTTCTATTAGGAAGAGGGTGATGGGTATAGACATTCTTTGATGAAAGGAGATAGTTCTATATGGCGTTTTAGCTGATGGAAAAAGCTACGGTGTTGTGGAATTTCGAACAGTGTGAACAAGTGAATATGAAATTAAATAGGCTGCTAAATACCTTAATATACCCTTATCCCAAAATCGGCTATCCTGAATCTTAATTCGCCCCTGAATGAACCCCATTTTTTCATGTATTCGGCTGCTGTCGTAGTAATGTTTGGTCCCTCATGATTACCTTCTTTCTTTACTTCATAACGCCCGTGATTAAGTTTTGTAGTTACTTTGTAAGGTCCGAAAAATTTTGGACGAAGTTTCATACCAGTCCAGGGGTCCAACGTGGTCGATGTGATAGGTTCCGAGAGGTTCCTGAGCCTTGTCAATGGGACTGAGTACCCCTTCCTTTTTCCCACATTTGGAGTCGATGATCAAGCATTCCACGCATCCTTTAACAACTAGTTCTACCTTCTGTTGGTTTCTAGGTATATAATACGACTTTTCCAAAAATCGCGAGTCTTTTTTATACCGAAGTGGCCCTCTTTGTGTGCTACGCTGACAATTTCGTCTTCCATTGCCTCTGGAACAACTAACAGCTCAAGAACTGCGTCTTTGTACAGGATATTATTTTCTAGGAATTAATCTTCGTAGTCGTGGTTGTTGATTAATATGGTTTTAACAGCTTTTATCCAGCTGTCGCTGTCTTGTTTAGAAGGCATGACAATCGACTTAATGCGTCCACGTATCTCATCTTAGTTCCAGCCCTGTGCTCTATCTTAAATTCAAACTCTTGCAGAGCCATGGCCCATCTGGCAACTCTTGGTGGTAGATCATCCTTCTTGATCGTCAAAGCGAAAGCGTTGCAATCGCTAATCACGGTAAAAGGCTTACCCAGAAGGTAAACTCGCCACTTTTTCAACGCATTTACGATTGCTAAAACCTCGAGCTCGTAGGAACTGTACTTTTCTTCGCAACCGTTTGTTTTCCTGCTCATGAACTCAATAGGATGAAACTGCTGATCCTCCGAGTCCCTCTGCATTAAAACGCCTCCGAAGCCATATTTGCTTGCATCTGTATGAACTTCGGTTGTAGCCATTGGATAGAACAGTTTGAGTACTGGTGCTGACACACGAAATTAGTCCTTGCTCAGTCAACTTGAGATTTCTGTCATCCTTTGTGTTGCTTTTCATCCGAAGAAGGTCGCTTAGGGGTTTTGCTGTGAGGGCGTAATCTTTAATGAAGCGCCGCATATATGACGTCAGACCCAAGTATCGGTGCAAAGCTTGACTGCTTTGAGGAATTGGAAAATTAACGACTGCTTTAATCTTCTCGTTGGTGGGTGCTATGGTACCGATCTCAATCATGTAGCCTAAGAAATTGATCTTGCTCTTGAGAAATTGTGCTTTTTCCCACTTGATTCATAATCCATTCCTCGAAGCCACGCTCAATACCTTTTCTAACGCCTTCAGTCCTTCATTTTCGTCCTTGCTTGGCACGATTATATCGTCCATTTAGACCACGGTCGTTTGTGCTTGAATAAGATCCCTCAAAGTAGCCGTGACATTTCGACAGAAAACAGCAGGAGAATTTGAGATACCGAACGGTACATGAGTAAATTCGTACTGCCCGTTATGCGTCACGAAAGCTGTGAAATTCCTGGATTCTTCGTCAATCGGCACATGAAAGAAACCGTTCATCATGTCCAGGGTTGTGAATATTTTCGATCCCTGCAACCTGTCGAGAACATCGTTAATTAGTCCTTCATGATTTTTTGATTGAGTCGGCGATAATCGCAACAAAATCGTCTGGAGCCGTCCTTTTTAGCTACCAGGACCACTGGCGAAGCATACTCTGAGGAGCTGGGTACAATAATTCCCTCTGCCAACCATTCCTGCACTTGATTCTCTATGAAACACCTGTTCTCGTATGATGTGCGTCTTGGGCGTTGATATACAGGAATATCGTCTTCCAACACGATTCTCATTCGCACTGGAGAATCTATCGATTTTATTGGTTTGTACTCTGTAAAAAGCTGCTGTATCTTTAGTTTTTGATTGTCGGCCAGGTGAGATAAATCAATTTTATCTAGGACGGAACTTTTCTCGACTATCTCCGTGACACACATTCCATTAAATGCCGATGCAAAGTCGACGCCGTTGAAACTGAACATTATGTCGACTGACTGTAGCACATCGTTTCCCAGATTTGCAGGGAACTCGAGTTCGTTCTGTTTGGCGACATGGACAGTTACCGAGAAGCATACACCATCAGCTTCAAGATCGACGTCGAAACATCCTACGGTCACAAGTTCGCCCTTGCCGATACCTCTCAGGTGCTTAACTACTGGCTTTAACTTCAAGCCGTCAAAACTTCTGAAAACGTCCTCTCTCAGCCAACACAAGTCACATCCCGAATCAATCATGGCTATGAATGTCACTCCTTCAGCTTTCTTCTTTTTGTAAATGAGTCGCTTCGTGGCTTTTACTTCCAGTATGTTTGCAAACTCTTTCTTAACGGAAATAGTTTCTTTATTCTCATCGCAATTTTTAGAGATATGTCCTTTCTTGTTGCACTTGTAACATATTACTTCGCCTTTGCAATCCTTGGCAATATGGCCTTCGCTGTTACACTTGAAGCATTTCCTTTAAAAATTGCTCTGAGTCGGTTTACCTGTCGATTCCCTGTTCAAATTGTCTTTAGTATTTCCCTTACCCTTCATCTTTTCGTAAATGCTTAATTCGGCTTTAAGTTCCCTAATGGAATTCGCTCGATAAAACCCTGCCTTGTTGACCTTGCTATCTGGGATGCCATCTATGAAGTACGATGATAGACTTTCCTCATCAAGATTTATCGGTTTGCTGATCTCCATTAAACTATAGAGATACTCGAGTCATGTCTCTTTTGGTTGTTTTTGCCTTTTGCTCAAAATCTTGTGTATCTCTGCCGAACATAGCTTTTTACCGAATTCTTCCTTCAACGCGTTTTTTAGCTCAATCCAACCCCTAACTCCCCTTATACATTTAATGTAGAGCTTGGCTGCTCCAGTCAGAAGTTGCTTAGCATAAATAAATTTCTGCAAATTATCTGATGAATGATGAAACACTGTCCTGAATATCGCGTAGTGTAAATCTCGAGCTACTAGGTTGAACCGCCTCTTGGTAATTGGAAGCGCTACTAATACTCGCAACTTCCCCATCAGCCTCGCCGTCCTCATCGTCAAACACATCTAATGCATAATGATCAAACAACCGATCCTGCAAAGCTCCTTTTCTGCCAGTTGTATCCAAACCTAGTTCGGATAACTTTGCCCTTAGTAGAGGCACAGTTATAGCGAGGATCGTTCTAGCATCCATAGTAATGCGTTCAAGCCGTTTACAAACAGTGGTACAATTCAATATTTAAATGTATTGATACAACAAAATAAAAATTTAATTGACGTTAAACAATTCGTGTATCCAAAAAAAATTAAAATCGGATTAAATATATGAAATCGCCTCAGTCGCTCACCACACCCAATTGGATTTTGCTGTCTTCTACGTCTGCTTGAATTTTGCAAATCCAGTCCACTCTTCTACTCCAGCTCTTACTCTTCTACGATGTCGTCACGCTGCACTGCTTGCTCGAGTCGTTGCCACTTCTTGCTCGTCTCTCGCAATTTTTTTTGCGGATTGCATCGTTTGCAGATCTTGCAGCTCCTCTTTTCGCCACAGGGAATATTTTGTTGTCGCAAAAATAGCAAGTGGCCAGTCCGCTGCTGTATGTCGTCGTTCTCTTTTCTCTACTGCGCAGATTTTGGGGTGGAAATTTTTTTTCGAGTAGTAAAGTTTTTGAATTTACGCACTTTGTAGTCTGTGTACTTCATTCGCTGCTTCAACGTTCTTCTTTTAACTTTTTAGATTTTCCTCGTCTTTATCTGTTTTTGTTTAGCAATTACATCCAACGCTTTTCAGTTTTTACTTCTTTTTTTTCAGTCTTCACTTCATTCTTCGTCGCGACATTTTTCGATGTGTTAACCCACAGTTTTCTCTTTGTTCTTTTTTCCTTTTATATATCCCGGTTGAGCCCCCAATAATTTGTAGGGTAGTACAAATTGATGATGTTTATTTCGGATATGTATATAAAAGTAAAAAGGTTTCAAAAGGTTAAACGAAATTAGTCCTTGCTCAGCCAACTTGAGATTTCTGTCATCCTTTGTGTTGCTTTTCATCCGAAGAAGGTCGCTTAGGGGTTCTGCAGCGTCAGTTTTCCGGCACAACTGATGCCTTGCAATTCGCCGTGGCGAATTCAGCTTAGATGAATGTTGTGTTTTATCTGTGTACTACTACACTGACGCTTACTGAACGGCCGAATATTTATGTAGGGTAGTAAAAATTGATAATATTTATTTCGGATATGTATATAAAAGTCAATTAAAGAAACAAAGGTTTCGGTATTAAACTTCACGACTTCCGCACTCTATGGATGACACTTGCTCTCTTCAATATTCGCAATCGACTCACTTCAACTTAAATTAGTAAGGCGCAATTTCTATTAGGAAGAGGGTGATGGGTATAGACATTCTTTGATGAAAGGAGATAGTTCTATATGGCATTTTAGCTGATGGAAAAAGCAACGATGTTGTGGAATTTCGAACAGTGTGAACAAGTGAATATGAAATTAAATAGGCTGCTAAATACCTTAATATACCCTTATCCCAAAATCGGCTATCCTGAATCTTAATTCGCCCCTGAATGAACCCCATTTTTTCATGTATTCGGCTGCTGTCGTAGTAATGTTTGGTCCCTCATGATTACCTTCTTTCTTTACTTCATAACGCCCGTGATTAAGTTTTGTAGTTACTTTGTAAGGTCCGAAAAATTTTGGACGAAGTTTCATACCAGTCCAGGGGTCCAACGTGGTCGATGTGATAGGTTCCGAGAGGTTCCTGAGCCTTGTCAATGGGACTGAGTACCCCTTCCTTTTTCCCACGTTTGGAGTCGATGATCAAGCATCCCACGCATCCTTTAACAACTAGTTCTACCTTCTGTTGGTTTCTAGGTATATAATACGACTTTTCCAAAAATCGCGAGTCTTTTTTATACCGTGGCCCTCTTTGTGTGCTACGCTGACAATTTCGTCTTCCATTGTCTCTGGAACAACTAACAGCTCAAGAACTGCGTCTTTGTACAGGATATTATTTTCTAGGAATTAATCTTCGTAGTCGTGGTTGTTGATTAATATGGTTTTAACAGCTTTTATCCAGCTGTCGCTGTCTTGTGCCTCCACTTAACGTGACTTTGTAGAATCTGCGATTAGAAGGCATGACAAACGACTTAATGCGTCCACGTATCTCATCTTAGTTCCAGCTCTATCTTAAATTCAAACTCTTGCAGAGCCATGGCCCATCTTGCAACTCTTGGTGGTAGATCATCCTTCTTGATCGTCAAAGCGAAAGCGTTGCAATCGCTAATCACGGTAAAAGGCTTACCCAGAAGGTAAACTCGCCACTTTTTCAACGCATTTACGATTGCTAAAACCTCGAGCTCGTAGGAACTGTACTTTTCTTCGCAACCGTTTGTTTTCCTGCTCATGAACTCAATAGGATGAAACTGCTGATCCTCCGAGTCCCTCTGCATTAAAACGCCTCCGAAGCCATATTTGCTTGCATCTGTATGAACTTCGGTTGTAGCCATTGGATAGAACAGTTTGAGTACTGGTGCTGACACACGAAATTAGTCCTTGCTCAGTCAACTTGAGATTTCTGTCATCCTTTGAGTTGCTTTTCATCCGAAGAAGGTCGCTTAGGGGTTTTGCTGTGAGGGCGTAATCTTTAATGAAGCGCCGCATATATGACGTCAGACCCAAGTATCGGTGCAAAGCTTGACTGCTTTGAGGAATTGGAAAATTAACGACTGCTTTAATCTTCTCGTTGGTGGGTGCTATGGTACCGATCTCAATCATGTAGCCTAAGAAATTGATCTTGCTCTTGAGAAATTGTGCTTTTTCCCACTTGATTCGTAATCCACCCCTCGAAGCCACGCTCAATACCTTTTCTAACGCCTTCAGTCCTTCATTTTCGTCCTTGCTTGGCACGATTATATCGTCCATTTAGACCACGGTCGTTTGTGCTTGAATAAGATCCCTCAAAGTAGCCGTGACATTTCGACAGAAAACAGCAGGAGAATTTGAGATACCGAACGGTACATGAGTAAATTCGTACTGCCCGTTATGCGTCACGAAAGCTGTGAACTTCCTGGATTCTTCGTCAATCGGCACATGAAAGAAACCGTTCATCATGTCCAGGGTTGTGAATATTTTCGATCCCTGCAACCTGTCGAGAACATCGTTAATTAGTCCTTCATGATTTTTTGATTGAGTCGGCGATAATCGCAACAAAATCGTCTGGTGCCGTCCTTTTTAGCTACCAGGACCACTGGCGAAGCATACTCTGAGGAGCTGGGTACAATAATTCCCTCTGCCAACCATTCCTGCACTTGATTCTCTATGAAACACCTGTTCTCGTATGATGTGCGTCTTGGGCGTTGATATACAGGAATATCGTCTTCCAACACGATTCTCATTCGCACTCTATCGATTTTATTGGCTTGTACTTTGTAAAAAGCTGCTGTATCTTTAGTTTTTGATTGTCGGCCAGGTGAGATAAATCAATTTTATCTAGGACGGAACTTTTCTCGACTATCTCCGTGACACACATTCCATTAAATGCCGATGCAAAGTTTCTCTCTTTTGCCCTGAACTCGACGCCGTTGAAACTGAATATTACGTCAACTGACAGTAGCACATCGTTTCCCAGAATTGCAGGGAACTCGAGTTCGTTCTGTTTGGCGACATGGACAGTTACCGAGAAGCATACACCATCAGCTTCAAGATCAACGTCGAAACATCCTACGGGCACAAGTTCGCCCTTGCCGATACCTCTCAGGTGCTTAACTACTGGCTTTAACTTCAAGCCGTCATAACTTCTGAAAACGTCCTCTCTCAGCCAACACAAGTCACATCCCGAATCAATCATGGCTATGAATGTCACTCCTTCAGCTTTCTTCTTTATGTAAATGAGTCGCTTCGTGGCTTTTACTTCCAGTATGTTTGCAAACTCTTTCTTAACGGAAATAGTTTCTTTATTCTCATCGCAATTTTTAGAGATATGTCCTTTCTTGTTGCACTTGTAACATATTACTTCGCCTTTGCAATCCTTGGCAATATGGCCTTCGCTGTTACACTTGAAGCATTTCCTTTAAAAATTGCTCTGAGTCGGTTTACCTGTCGATTCCCTGTTCAAATTGTCTTTAGTATTTCCCTTACCCTTCATCTTTTCGTAAATGCTTAATTCGGCTTTAAGTTCCCTAATGGAATTCGCTCGATAAAACCCTGCCTTGTTGACCTTGCTATCTGGGATGCCATCTATGAAGTACGATGATAGACTTTCCTCATCAAGATTTATCGGTTTGCTGATCTCCATTAAACTATAGAGATACTCGAGTCATGTCTCTATCAATATTTAAATTTATTGATACAACAAAATAAGAATTTAATTGACGTTAAACAATTCGTGTATCCAAAAAAAATTAAAATCGGATTAAATATATGAAATCGCCTCAGTCGCTCACCACACCCAATTGGATTTTGCTGTCTTCTACGTCTGCTTGAATTTTGCAAATCCAGTCCACTCTTCTACTCCAGCTCTTACTCTTCTACGATGTCGTCACGCTGCACTGCTTGCTCGACTCGTTGCCACTTCTTGCTCGTCTCTCGCAATTTTTTTTGCGGATTGCATCGTTTGCAGATCTTGCAGCTCCTCTTTTCGCCACAGGGAATTTTTTGTTGTCGCAAAAATAGCAAGTGGCCAGTCCGCTGCTGTATGTCGTCGTTCTCTTTTCTCTACTGCGCAGATTTTGGGGTGGAAATTTTTTTTTCGAGATAATTTTTGAGTACGCTCACAGTAAAGTTTTTCGCTGCTTCAACGTTCTTCTTTTAACTTTTTAGATTTTCCTCGTCTTTATCTGTTTTTGTTTAGCAATTACATCCAACGCTTTTCAGTTTTTACTTCTTTTTTTTCAGTCTTCACTTCATTCTTCGTCGCGACATTTTTCGATGTGTAAACCCACAGTTTTCTCTTTGTTCTTTTTTCCTTTTATATATCCCGGTTGAGCCCCCAATAATTTGTAGGGTAGTACAAATTGATGATGTTTATTTCGGATATGTATATAAAAGTGAAAAGGTTTCAAAAGGTTAAACGAAATTAGTCCTTGCTCAGCCAACTCGAGATTTCTGTCAGCCTTTGTGTTGCTTTTCATCCGAAGAAGGTCGCTTAGGGGTTCTGCAGCGTCAGTTTTCCGGCACAACTGATGCCTTGCAATTCGCCGTGGCGAATTCAGCTTAGATGAATGTTGTGTCATCTATCCCCATCTCACTCACACAACACAATATTTTATCTGTGTACTACTACTCTACCACTCTAACCAATCTTCTTCACTTTTATTTTCGAATCAATTTACTGGTGGTTGACATTTCACGCTTACTGAACGGCTGAATATTTATGTAGGGTAGTTCAAATTGATAATGTTTATTTCGGATATTTATATAAAAATAAATTGAAGAAACAAAGGTTTTGTTATTAAACTTCACGACTTCCGCACTCTATGGATGACACTTGCTCTCTTCAATATTCGCAATCGACTCACTTCAACTTAAATTAGTAAGGCGCAATTTCTATTAGGAAGAGGGTGATGGGTATAGACATTCTTTGATGAAAGGAGACAGTTCTATATAGCGTTTTAGCTGATGGAAAAAAACTACGAGGTTGTGGAATTCCGAACAGTGTGTCCCCATATGAAATTAAATAGGCTGCTTAATACCTTAATATACCCATATCCCACATTTATAATCGTCTAAAATTATTTTTGCTTGGTACATCTTTTGAATATGAATTTTATATTTTGTGGCAAATCCCTAAATACCAGGTTTTCCAATATTTATTTTTTAATCCTTAATACGCCTATTTGTTTATATCAAACTTATATCACATTCGCTAGATTAGAAACGATTAGGATTAGAAAAATAAAATTCTTTGCCAGTGCAATTTATCCTTACAGCAGTTGTTCAAACCAGCAGGATCAAAATTGATCAATTTTAAATGCTATTGTTCATTTGATACAATTTTGTAAACAAATGATAACGAATAAGATAACATCGGTGATTTGAATCTTTGCCCCGAGCTTTCGATCCGTTCCCGCTTACTTACCTCTTTTATATTCTCATACTTTTGTAAGTAAAGCGATCTCCGCAACATTTGGTGACCTCGACGTAATTGTTTTTCAATCGAAAATATGTATTTCTTGATCCAGAGATCGCTGCTGTTGAACTTTCGTTTCGCCAAACACAAAAAAAAAATTCATTCGTCGCGGAGTGCAATCGTACATTATTTTCTAAATCTATAGAAACAATTTGTTGCTATTCTGGCAAACACAAATAAAAAACATTTTCTTCGCCGCAAAAAAACATTATTTCGTGATGTTTCTTACTGAAATATTCTGTTCCGTCGATTATATAACATAACTGTGATTCGCGAACATTACTGTGCAAAGACGCTTTGAAAAAGGAACATAAAAAACGAAAGCAGAAAACGGCTCATTTTTTGAAGCAGAAATTTGGCGGTTTCCAATTACAGGTTGATTCGGTGGTTGTTCCGAAAGCATAATAAAATGGATAATAACGCGCCAAATGAAATAAACTTTAGCAAGGTCAAGGTAAAATATATTGTGTTGCAACATTCGGCAACCAATTCTTTTTTATTCAAGAAATTTTTACAATTTCGATGAATCACAGCTCTGACAAATTCGTATTTAATATCTCTTTAGTGCTTTCAGATGGTCTGTCTTCCAAGCGAATCATATTATATAAGTGATAGCCAGATGTTATGATGAGAAAATGCATTGTCACGACCTGGGACCTATTCGGAGACGAAGCTCTGACAAATTCGTATTTAATTTCTCTCCAGTGCTTCCAGATGGTCTGCCTTCCAAGCGAAGCATATTATAAGTGATAGCCAGATGTTATGATCCGCTTGGCCTAATCGCTGTCTTCAGTTTGGCTAAAACGTGCCTCCCAGCTTCGAGTGATTCCGAATATGAAGTTAACGAGATTTGCCAAGATCGCAAATTCCTCTAAGCTTTTGCACGCATTTTTTTTTGTATATAGCTTTGCTTTTATTTATTGAATCTACTCTTAATTTTGAGACAAACAATAAGTTGACGAGTCTTAACATTAAAATTTAACTAACAGTATACTAAGACTGCTTTCTGGTTGCGATTCCCTCAGGTCGGTCGCTGGGTGGGTAGGTCATTGCGACGAAGGCGTGATTGGTTGCTCAACCTTGTTAGACCTCTTGCCAGGTGGTTAGGGTGCACCGATAGCTTGGTAAAGTACTTTACCTTTTGTTCTGCGATCACTTCTTTGACTGGTAGAATGTTTAAGTCGCGGTGTATGTGTTAGTTGCGAGCATACCACGGTGCCCCGGTGATTGTTCTCAGGATCTTCGACTGAACGCTCTGAACAATGTCAATGTTGCTATTGCTGGCGTTTCCCCATAACTGGGAGCCGTACATCCATATAGGTTTTAGTACCGAGTTGTACAGCATGATTTTATATTCAAGGCTAAGAGGTGACCGGGCGTTGATAAGCCAATAAATGCTGCTGGCTTTTAGCTTAAGGTGAGTTCTTTTGGCTTCAATGTGCCGGCGCCATGTGAGTCTTCTGTCGAGATGTACTCCTAGGTAAGTTAATTCGTTTGCTTGTGGGAGTAGAGTGTTGTTTAACGTAATCGGCGGGCAGTTTTGCCTGTTCAGGGTGAACGTAACGTGTTTGCATTTTAGTTCGTTCACTTTAATTCGCCAATCTTATAGCCATTTTTCAACATCGACCATATGACGAGCTAGCTGCGCGTGCTTGAATCGGGCATTTAGAACGGCTAAGAATAGCGGTGTCATCGGCTACCGTAGATGTTGTTAGACGTGTGCTTGTCGGGATGTCTGCTGTGTAGAGGGCATAAGTGTTGGCACGCTACCTTGAGGAACTCCAGCTCCAACAGTGTAATCATCAGATATAGCAGTGTTGCACCTCACAACAAATTTTCTGTCGTGAAGGTAAGACTCTAAAATCTTGTGGGTGCTGTAGGGGAGCATTGTCTTGATATTGGACATTAGACCTTCTAGCCAGACTCTATCAAATGCTTGAGAGACATCTAAAAATATGGCAGTACAGTACTCTCGTTATCCGGTTGACCTGCTCAATTGTTCCATGCTTTTCACGAAACCCAAATGGGTGTGACGGGATTCCTTCCTGGATTCTCATGTATGTGTTTATCCGAGTCAATAGGCATTTTTCAAAGAGTTTAGATAGGCAAGAGAGTAGGCTTATAGGTCTTTATTACGTCGGGATAGTGTTGTCTTTCCCCGGCTTTGCTATCATTATTATAATTGACTTTTTCCATCTCACTGGAAAGTGACCAAGTTTAGCGATGGCATTAAAGAGCTGGGTGAGAGTGCAAACGACGCAGTATGGGAGCTCAATGATCATTTTGGGAGTTATGAGGTCGGAGCCCGGAGATTTTTTCGGATTCAGTTGTCTTTTGATGATGTTTACGATTTCGTTTGGGCGAAACTCAATTGGCTCATGTTGAGGCTGGGGCTCATATGATAGAGTCGGCAAAGTAAAAGCATTAGTGGCAGGATTTGGTTGGAAGACATTTTTAAGGTGGTTGGCAAATGTGCTGGCTCTGTCTGCGTCACTGCGCGCCCAGCTGCCTGTGGAATTTCTAATAGGCATCACGGTTTCTTTCGGTGAGCTCAGAGTTGGGTGAGCTCTCCATAGTGAGTGTTTTGTACTATTTGTTGACAATTGCTCAATGTAGCGGCGGTGGACATATGTTTCTTCTTGCTGTAGGGCTTAAGCAAGTTGACGTGAGGCATGTTTTAAGCTTTGCTTAGCAGATGGTGATCTGTGAAATTGCCATTCTCGACGTAAGCGTCGCTTTTCGAGGACGAGCTGCTCAATTTGTAGATTTATCTTCTTTTGATTGCATTGTTTGTTTATAGCATGAGG